ATTTCTATCTGTGTCACATTATAAATACTGATCCATTCAGTTCTTGGGAAGATCAAATGAGCCAAATACTGTAGGCCTCTTAGGACACTACTAGCACGTGGTAAAAACTCAGTTTCTGACGTTACTAGTCTCATGCGAGATGCTGCCTCAGTTCTGGCCCAACCTAATTCTCAGAGACTTGGAAAATTTCTCAGCCATAAAGACAGTAAGAAGACACCAACATCACATTATTAAATATCACGATGTCATTTTAAAAAGCCAAGTAATAGAAGCCAGTTTCTATTAGATTTTAGCCACAGTGATGGCACAAACATCTGACACAGTCTTGCAGAACCCTTTATCACTGAGATCTCCAGCGAGGACCCAGCACCATCTGATCCCAGCATCCCCTGCCTCAGAGACAGACTGTGCTCTCTTCGAGCTCTTTTTGGGGCCTCCTAGACACCCCAAGGCACCCTAGCTGCTTCTAGGAGCAGGCTCCCTTTCCCTTAGGAAGAGAAATGCTGTGTCAGGGGTGGAATCTTTTATCCAACAACCTGACAGACAAGTGTCGTTATAGTTCCAAGGAATGGGCTTCTGCCAAGCACTGTATAGGTCCCTATCAGATATCATCCCAGGATCCCAGGAGAGACCATGACCTGTGAATGTATGAGGTCAGAAGGGGAAAAAACTTGTCACTGCCATGAGACCTGTGGGCAGATACTGAAGCAGATCTGAGAAGAAAGGATTTACTGACTTCCAAAACACTCTGGAGGTTACAGAAGGCCAAGTATGTTCCTTGTAGCCTAGTTCAGGACGGCCCCACCCAGTTATTTTCACTATTTAAAATGTATTCTGTGCTATATACCAATAATCGTCACCCCACTGTTATTAATGTGTAGACATATTTCTTTTAGTCTATGTAATGAAAATTTTGTGTTGACCTGACTTGTGTAAGAGATAACAGATAAACATTATTTGTGAGGGTATTTTGAGAAGAGATTAGCATTTAGGTCACTAGATAAATAAAGAAGAAACCGCCCACCAATGCAGGCAAGCATCATCTAATCCATGGAGGACCTGGACAGAACAAGGAGGTGGTGAGAGTGTATATTCTTTCTCTCTTTGAACTGGGACGTCTGCTGCTCCTAAACACATGGTTCTCATCCCAGGCTTCAGACCTGAGGATTTACATAGCACCATAGCCCACCCAACCCCTACCCCCCATTCCATAGCCTTTGGCCTTGGCCTGAAAGTTAGGACACTGGCTTCCCTGGTCTCAAACCTTTCACCTCATATGGAGTTACACCCCTGGTTTTCCAGCATGTGGGCAGCACATGAAGGGTGCTGTGCCCTCATAATCATGCTCTCTGATTCCCATCTCTTCTTTATCTGTATCTAGCCTACATACACATGTCTACCATATCTGCAACTTTATTTTCTATGGGTCTATTTCTCTGGAGAACCTTGACCAAAATAGTCTGTTTTTTTTTTTTTTTTTTACATGTTGAGATCATATCACTTTTCTTACTTTTCCCCTAATATTTTGTCTAATAGTTTCGTTAGTCAAACTTCTTCAATTATGTCTTTTTCTTTTTATTGTACATGTGCGTGGTCCATGATGATTACGCTCCTCGTGTGGAGCTGGTACGTGTGTATGGGTTATAAGCAAGGGACTATTTTATCCTGAACTCATCCGAAGGTTGAAATAAGACTTCTAAGAAACCCTGGCACCAAGTAGCGCTTGATGTCAATGAGCTGAAAAATAAGCACGTCTTTAGTGCATATTTGTGTTTCACTCTTTGGGGCTCTCCTGGCAGTTCTCCTCCTCTCTCCTGAACTCAGGCACACAAGTTGGGGGCGGAGCTGTCATCACAGGCAGCTGATCTGTGGGGGCCGTGGAGGGAATAACTGAGGCAACTTGGCTCTGCCCTACTTGTCTTTCACGCAGCAGGATTGTGCTGATACCTTTTCACGAAGGAGGTAAAGAAGCAAAAGGAAAGGCAGAAATGGGGAAAAGCTTCTACATCTTTTCTAGTGTCACATCTGCTAACATCTACTGGCCAGAGAAAATGAATTGAGACAGAACAATCAGAATAAACTAAGTCCTTTCTTGTCTAAAAAGGCAAATACTCACACGGTATATTTCCAGTAGTAGTGCCCATGAGACAGTTCAGCTTGAGCCATATTCTGCAGACCCCTGAAAGATTTCCCGATTCTACCACGCAAGAGTGACACTCAACCCTACCAGAAAAGGTTTCAGACTTTCAGGGGTTTGATACCTCAAGAAGGATCAACTTTCTTCAGAGAAACTTTTCCTTTCCTCTGAAATTAATAGTTCATTGCTTCACTTACTCCTACTCTGCTGATGAGGGAGGACTTACCACGAGACCCGTCTCATGGGGGACAAAATAAATCAGACTCAGCCCTTGCAATCAAGGCACTAAACTAGATTAAACTGACAGGTGCCATTCCTGCTGAGCCTTTTTTTTTAACATTGGAGTTCAAAATAAACAAATCAATGAAGACATCAGACATGAGATGCATTATTAAAAAATGTTAGAATTCACACCTTTTTTCTACATGAAGACATTCCAGGGAGAGGGAGGATAAAAACAAAGCAGCAAAGACTCGGAGGTTGGAATGTGTGAAGTTTTTAGGGAAATGCTTATCTGTTTTCTGTCTCTCTGTCCATCAGCCCAAGTTATGATTTGCTTTAAACTCTTCCCCTTCGTTCCTGAAGGGGGAAGGTGGAGAGGAAAGGTCAGAGGAGTTGGGGGATTCTAGAATAAACGCCCGTGCTCCAGCAGAGTTCATGGCCCTTCATCTTCAAGAAATCGCTGCGAGGGAGACAGGGAAGTGGTATTTTCTCCACTGCACATCCATGGAAGCTGGACCAAGAGGGGGCGAATCCCCCAAACTCACACATCCGTTTGGTGGCAGAACTAAAACTCTAAATCCGCCTTCAGAGATGCACAGTTCACTGTTCTCTCAACAAAGGGGCTCATCCTGAGAATGTTACTTCTTTTTTTTTTTTTCCTCATCAGGTTTGCTATACAGCTAGGATGAGGTTTAAAAAGTTGCTGCGCCAGCCGGGCATGGTGGTGCACACTTGTTATCCTAGCCCGTGGGAGGCTGAGGGAGGAGGATCTCTGTGAGTTCAAGTCCAGCCTGAACTGCATAGTGAGACCCCGTTTCAAAAAGACAAAAAAAAAGTTGCTTCACCAAGTTCTTTGAAGCCATGCGTTCTCTAGGTGATAGCTGAGACACTGAAAACACTGGCTTCTTCCCTGGTGGGTTTGAAGAATTCACAAAACCAAGGGCTTGTCAGTTGGCTCGTGAACACAACGTTCCTTCTTGCTGCAGTGTGGGTGACCCTTCTGTCTGGCTAGAAAACTACAGAAAAGTCTGTAAAGTACATTCTGCTGTGTATGGATTTCAAAAATCAAGAAATTCCTCATGAGTGAAGTAAGAGAGTGTGTAACCTAGAGACTTCCCGGGTATATTCCCGGAAGAGTTTTAATACATTAAAACTTCGAGAGCACTTCCACAGATGTTATTATTCGGGTGAAGGAGAAATATTCTACAATGGGTGAGAAGAGAGGAGACATTTATCTAAACTGAGAAAAAGAACGGACATCCAGGAGATGACCAGACTGAAAAGAGGGGAAGTATGTTCCAAAACAGGTGGACTCTCCCCGCTCCATCATTCACTCACTCACCAGTTCGCCAGCACTTGTTGAGCGATGACCAAGTGCTGAGAGGGAAAGGGAACAACAGCTGGCTCCTCTGGGAGCCAGTGAGAGCGCGGTGGGGCTGCTGGTACAGGGCAGGAAATGTATACTGTATTCGAGTGTTACTAAGAAACAAGGACGAGTGAAAGCAATCCAGGTAAAGAAAGGCAAGGCAGGAGCACGCTCTGCCTACAGGAAGCAGAAAATGTACTTTTGAACTGAGGCAAAAGAAAACTTAACCTATGAAGCACGCAGAAAGTACAGAAAAACCTGCAGCCCGTGGAGCGGGCAGGGAAAGGCAAGAGATGAGGCTGGCTAGTCCAGGAGACGGCAAATCCCACGCAGGCTTACCAGCCATGCCAAGGACATGAGATTCTACCCAGGAGCTAACAGGAAGCCTTGGTTACAATGGGAGGGTTATCAACCAGCAGAGTCTGGTTATCCCACAGCAAGAACTTACAAATGCGTGCCCTGAAATGGCGAAGGTGATTTCTCACTGAACTCAATGAAGTTTAGCTGGGTGCTCTATTACAGGCTTCCCAGCCCAGGGAGTACTGCAAACCCAAGTGGCCCTTAGTGCAAAGGGGGAAATCTAAAGCAGGATGAACTGTGCGTTAATACAGAAGGCTTCTAGTCAGAAATGGCACAAATTGCTTCATATGCATTTCATAGGATGAAGGGAGCCACACACCTCCACCTAACGTCACAGGAAGTAGGGAAATACAACCATGTAATCCTATGTGCAGAGAAAATTCCATTTGACCCAGCTTTTCCCCTTCTAGGTGTCTTCCTGAGAGAGTTAACATATCGCACTACAGTGACACAAGCACATGCATGTTTACAGCAGCACAATTCATAACAGTTAGATCTTGGAAGTAGTCTCTGTGCCCATGAACTGAGGAATGAACAAGGACAATGTGGTGTTTACACGCAATGGAGTATTACTCTGCCATAAAGAAGGATAAACCTGAGTCATTTGTGGGAAAATGGTTGCACTTTGAGACCGTAATGTTGAATGAAATAAATGAGAAGCACAAGCTTAAATACGGCATGGTTTCTCTTACACGAGGTCAAAATATAAATAAATTAAAGAGCAAAATAAACACAATAGGAAACAGAGAGATTGACCTCGTGCAAAAGGAACCAAGAGCTGGAGGGCGGGATGGAAAAAGAGCTAAGCTGTGCTCTGCCCCTGCACCGCCTGCCCGCCACGGGTGTGATCACTGTGCCCTGGAACAGGTGCTGATAAAAGTGAGAATGAAACTGTCTGTGGAAATCATGGCTTACCAGCGTGGTCTTCTGATCATCACACATGAGTCCATCCTCCTCCCTTCGGGGGGGCTGCACGAGCCTCCCCTCAGGGTGCCACCCCGGCGCCTGCCGCGGTCGCGTCTGCAACGTCACTTTCACCGTCTGGTCGCGCCCTGTGACCGAACCGTCTCCACTCTGGGTGCGGCTGCGAAGGCGTCTTGTCGATGCGTCCCTGGCTGTCACTGGTACCCACACCCTCTAGATAATGTGAGCGGAACCTCACTCAGTCGTCTTAAAAGAGCTTAAGAGGAAAAAAACCTGAGGTTTCCTAGAGAATAAGAGAAAAATCTGCCTCAAAGCTGCAGCTTTAACTCCTCTCCGAGTCTCTCTGGCCTGTTGACTGCCCCATGGTGCCAACCTTGCTAACCCCTAATCAGGCGAGCTGGTTCTTAAAGTACACACATGTATATTTATTACAGATATATGCAATATCATAAACCTATGATACATATATATTTGTAATGAATGTATGACATATATTTATAATAAATATTATATATAAATATTGTCTATCGTATAGAAAATTACTTTACATATCTTGTTGTTCCTGTTTCTCTGGAGAACCTTGACTATAAACTGCACTGCCTAGAAAAGTTTCTTCGAGTCTGAATATGGTCCCTCTTGCCCTTCCCATAAGATGAATAAACAGCCAGGCCCAGTGGTGCAGGCCTGTCATCCCAGCACTTGGGAGGCTGAGGCAGGAGGATTGTGCTGAGTTTGAGGCCAGCCTGGGCTCAATAGTGAGTTCAAGGCTGGCTTAAACTACATAGTGAGACCCGTCTCACAAAAAAAAAAAAAAAAAAGAACAAACAAGTTATTTGCTCCCACAAACCTTCTAGGAAGAAAATAGTTACAATAAAACTACTCAGCCAGGAGAGATGGGAAACAGAAGTTCCTGTTGCTAGGAGCCCAGGACCCGCTCACCCCAAGGGTGAAGAATATGGCCTCATCGGATGCCGACTGACTCATGAGCAACCCCGCATCTCCTGCTCTCATTTTTCCTTATTCTCTTCCGCCACATCTTATGTGGACAACAAGAGTCCGTTTAAAGCCCGCGCAGTCATATTATTTTTTAATCCAGGCTTGGTAGAGAGCCCAAGGCCGGCTGTGGACTTCGCTCTGCCAGCAGGGGGCAGCAGAGGAAGCCGAGGCCCGTGGATTCCCACCCCTCCCGCACCTGGGGTGCAAGAGGATGCTGGCTGTCTCCAAGGCTGTGTTGCGGGGCGTCAGGGCACTTGGAACTTCCGGACAGCACCTAATAATTGGGCTTCCCTACGTTTCAGTGCATCTCAACTGCTGGGAAACTGACCTCAGGGCGTTGCAGGCAGAACACTTGCCGAGGAGGGAGCGAGGAGGGAGGGGACGCCCCGTCCAGGAAGAGATCTCGAAGTGGGCACGACCGGAAATGACGTTGTCCTGCTCCAAAGGCAGCGGACATCGCTACCCAAGAGCTGCACAGGTGCGGGGAGCGGTGATGAGGGTTCCACTGATGCGTCGCTCGGCTGGGAGGGAAGGGATGGCAAGGTGGAAGATTTAATTGGAAATGTCTGAAATCTAGTCTGGGGTGGAAGCCCCCCTCTTGCACTTGCCAAGCTTTCTAATTGGGGGTTTGGCAAAACTGACCTGTGAGGGCCCTCGGCAGCCTGTAGAGGACTGCAGAAGAGCTAAAGCTGTAATTTTGAAATAGAATTTCTTCTTTTTAGGAAACCTAAATCAAGGCCACCTTATCAAGGGGACGTAGGTAACATCTATGTCTAGTCACCCTGCCTGCCTGTACAACACCCGCACAGCAGCACTGGATGAGTGTGTGAGATCAGGGCACTGTAGCCTGAAGAAAATCTCCCTTAGACGGAAGCTCGGTGAGGTGTGTAGGTTGTCACCTCAGGAGAGGTTTTGTGTGTTGTGTACGCAGCTAAGAATACTCAGTAAGCACCGAGTAAAGATCACTACTTATGGAAGAAATGAATGAGTCGAAACAAAGAGGATCCAGGCACGGTGGCGCATGCCTGCAATCCCAGCACTCCGAGATTTACTGTGAGTTCGAGGCCAGCCTGGGAGCACAGGGAGGTCAAGGTCAGCCCGTACTACACAGTAGATCTTGTCTCAAAATAATAATAATAAAATAAAGTAATACATAGGGTTCTTATAGCTTCCTTTTTTAAAAACTTTTTGTATAAAAATCATGAAGTTGGCAAATGCAACATTTAATACCTGTGGAACATGGTAACTTCCTCTACTATTACAACAATGGGTGTTGTAATAAAGATTTTTCTATGGGCAATGAAAAGGCAAAATAAAGCTACAATGAAATCGCCTTTTTCCCCTTCTCTTTCCAGCTTGGTAAAGGGTGAATACATTTGACATCATCTGTCATTCAGAAAAAGATGACGAAAGGGTGCTTAGAAGAGAGGATTAAAAATTAAATATTGATGGGGAAAAGTTTGCTGAGGCGAAGCAAGGCTTCCCAGATTATCGACTTTTGATCTGGGTCCACAGACTCCCCTGGGGTTTATTTCGGGCATCTATGAACTTGAAAAAATTATCTCTTCATTGTCATTAAGTTCTAACCATAATTTCATTGTCATTAAGTTCTAACCATAATTTCATTTTTCTTAATTATGAATGCAGGCACCAAACTACAGTAAATTTGCATTATCTCTAACTGTCATGAATGGTGATGAGATAATTTCACATCTGATTACAGTTGCTGAAGATAACTAAAATATCATTTGCTTTTATTAAAACAAATGATATAACATAACTATGTAGTGAGTAATTATACTCATTACTAGCTCTTGCAGCTAGATTTTCTCTGAAGACTTAGTTCCCCATTTTCCACTTAGATAAATATATTTCTGTATAATTTTGCTTTCTGCATTATCTGTATATTTTACTCATTCATATATTAAGACTCATGACCCTGGGAAAAGGTCTAGTGCTTCACTGGGTTTTTGAGAAGTTTAAAAATGATGTCATATGATAAATTCAGTGGGTTTTTGATGACTGCCTCTTAATTATTTAAAGAAATTTTCAGGAAGGAAAAATCTTAGCAATATCAGGAAGTGAAGGCAAAGGGCCCTAATGCATTCTCTCTCTACCTTTTTCATTTTTAAAGTAATTAGGAACTTACAGCTGCCATTTCACATGTAATTAGCACACAGGTCTACTTGACCTGGTGGTGGCCACTGGGAGCCATAGCCGCCATGACGGCCCCTGGGGAACGCTGGTCAGTCTGCTCCACTTAGTTTCCAGCATGCTAGGAAGAGCCAAACCCAAGACCATGATACATGGAGCTTTGAGTCCAAATGCTGGTGCCAGGACCGTGACTGACCCAAGATACTAACTTGAGTTAAACCAGGTCTGTTCCAGCTTGGATGAAGTCTCTTCCATCCTGACTTCAGGTCTCAGATCTACTTGCTTCTGCTATTGCTGAGATCCCTGGCCCTGTCACTGTGCCCCAATCAATCCACTCTGTATAATCCTGGATCTACCGGCCTTTATCTTCAGTCTCACAGTTCCTTGGGACCAGCTGTTCCAGAACACATTCTCTGCTGTTTTTCAACAATATACTTAAGGGTCTGTGTCTTTTACTACCAAGGTAAAAAGTTAAAAAGCATCTACTAAGTTTGCACACCCAGAAGTGTGCTTTACTAATTTCCTAGCACTTTTCAATTCAAACAAGCCCACAATCACGCTCATCTTTCTACTATAATTTGCCAGTTCTTACTTGCTTACTTCGATTCATTTCTCATTTAACTGGAGCATGCCATCACTCAGGTTGCAGGTAGGGTGCCCCAGGGGTACGCTTCCTGAACTCTTACGTGTTTGAAAAGTCTTTCTCAAAACATCACACATGAGCAACAGTTTGACTTGTTATAATATTTTTATATCACATCCTTCCCCTCAAAACTTTGCCTGTTGCTTCCTTCACTCCTAATACACTTTTGGAAGCAGTGTCTGAGGAAGCCTGGTGCTTTTGTCGTTTTGCAGTGAACAATCTACCCAAATGATCTGGGGATGGTTTAATCCTTGAAACTGAGTTGTCGGCTCGAGATAGCTAGATGTTAGTCCCTCTTATTAACTTTGTCTGGTATACAGACATCCTCTGCATACTTGTGTCTTTGTTTTGTAAATCTTTCAAAGCATCCCACCTAGTTAAAGCTGTGCTCTTTCCCTAACACATTTGAATGTCCCTATTCTTGATACATTCTTCATCTGCATTCTTCAGACACAAATCTCGGTTTGTTTGTTTGTTTTAAAATCACATCTCAGATTACACATAGTGATCAGGTGAGGCTCCTTCACACTTTCCCAGGGGATCCGTGTGATAATGAAAGGCCATATATGTAGATCTGGGTGTCTGATGAGCGAGCTGACTCAGCACTGGGTGTGGGCTTACGTGCACTCCTCTCCCACTTAGATGCTGACTCTCCGGCCTCCTCATCCTCTGAGTGTCACCCATGTGTTGTCTGAGAGCTTTGCTGTCAACCTTTGCCCATTTGAGGATCTATATGCCAACCTGATTTGTAGCCCTTTTCCTCTAATTGCTCAAATACTCACTTAGCCGCTTCTGCAGATGGCCATCCCCTCATGCCGTAAATACCGGGGCTGTCAGAGGGTGAAGCACCTGTGATCCGCCCTGTACAGCTTGCTGAACATGCTGCAGCTGTTTTGGACTCTGCTCCCAGGCACCCCCTGCAGAAGAGAACAAGTCATCAGTGGTCAGGACGCAGAGCCAGGAGACCAAGTGAGAAGCTCAGAGCTCCCCTCTGAGTCCTACTTCAAGAAACAAGACGTTCTGTGACCTCCACAGTTAGCCTTTTTTTTCTGAGGAATTAGTCAGGAAAGTCCCTACAGACCTTAGCCTTCCAGAGTTCTGGGATTACAGGTATATACCACTGCACCTTCTTATATCAGTCTGGGCCGATAAGGACTAACTCAGCAGAACTGGGCTGCTCAAACCCTACACACTCCAAAGAGAAGAAAAGCAGCTCTTGGTGAATAACCTCCAAGTCCTTGTGGATATCCCACCTTGTGATAGATAAATCTTCATGTGCCTGAAACCATGCCCCATGCCAGAGTTCATGCCAACGGTGTGATTTATGGTTAAGCTTTGTTGCTGTTCATCCTGGGCCGAGGTACCTCTACTACATCACTTTAACCTGCACAGTAGGGCTGGGGCTGTTGCCTGCATAGCTGAGGGCAGGCACAAGCACACTGACGCCTATGCAAGTGGCCCCCAGGGAAGCTCTAGATGCCAAGTGTGAGGTGAGGCTCCTGGCTGGCCACCGTACATGCGTGTTGTCACACATCGCAGGTAGGAGAACAAAGCCCTGTGTAACTCTGCTCTCCAGGAGAACAGGAAGCCATTGCTCTGTAAACCTTTTTTGTGGCTGATTTTACTCTGTGTTCTTCACTGTAATAAGCTATCAATAAAGCAGCATTTGTGAGTTCCATGAGTTCTAGGCAATCACCAAACCCCACAGTGGGTCAGAGGACTCCTTATGTAATACTTCTACATTTGTGCAGCTCTCTATCAAGGTTGGAATGTGCACTTTGGAGTTAGACTTCCTGGGTCAGAGTCTCATCCTTCCCTCTCACTATGTGACCCAGAAGGAGTTGCTTTATATGTTGGGCCTCAGGTTATTCACCCACTCAGTGGGAAATGTTGTTGCTGTTGCTGCTGCTGCTGCTGCTGCTGCTATGTAAAACAGTATATATGTTCCTCAAAAAGATTAAAAATCAATCTAGCATATGATCCAGCAAATTCAGTTCTGGGCATATATCACAGAGCATTGGAACCAAGGTCTCAAAGAATGTGAACACCCACGTTCATGGCAGCACTACTGACAGTGGCCGAAAGGTGGACACAAGCCAGGTATCCATCAATGGATCAATGGCTAAAAAAATGTGGCGTGTACAAAAATGATGTCCAGCTATAAAATGGAGGGAAGCTCTGGTACGTACTATGACATGAGTGAACATTGAGGACATCATCTTAACTAAGATGAGCCATTCACAAAATGACAAATGTGCACGGTTCCACACTTTGAAGAATCTAGGGTAGTCAAATCTATACAAACATAAAGTATAATGGTGGTCCCCAGGGATAGGGAAGCAGGTGTGTGGTTTAATGCAGTGGCCTCCAATCTTTTTGGAACCAGGGAACAGTTTTGTGGAAGACAGTTTTTTCCACAGACCTATGAAAGTGGGAGGATGATTTCAGGATGATTTGAGCACATTATATTTATTATATACCTCCTATTATTATTGTATTGTAACATATAATGAAATAATTATATAACTCACCATGATGCAGAATCAGTGGGAGCCCTGAGCTTGTTTTCCTGTAACTACATGGTTTCATTGTGGGATGATGGGAGACCATGACACCTAAAGTGTGTTATGTCCAGGCAACTCTGTAATCTCCTGTTGGCCTCCCACTAGATGTAGCTTAGTTGGCCTCCCACTGCTCATCACTGATAGGATTTTGATCTGAGCCTGCAAATAATTGATTTATTAAGGTCTCTGTTGAGTCAAATCTCTCTGCTGATGTTAATCTGTGTTTGCAGCTGCTCCTCAGCACTGCCATCACT